AAGTATTGCAAGTTGGGAAGATGGTATATATTTAGTCCAAAGAACAGTATGCTGTTCTCAATAAAGCGCCTTGCTTAATTCGCTCACTTTTTAACTCTCTCCTCATTGGCCTACTTCTACACAGACTATACCCCCTTCAGTCTACCATGAAAGCTGCTGCCAGACCCATCCCCTTTACCAAACACCAGTGTCTGCCAATCCTTCCTCTAGTTTTTGATCAGCCAACAAATAAAATTAAAAATACTAACAACAAAAACATTCAAAGTCCTCCACAACTCTGACCCAAGCTTCATCACCAACCTTGGCTTAAAATATTGCCTAACCCCTCTTTTTCACTCCTCTCAGGACTTGCTCTTTAGCTGCCTTGTAATCTCCTCCCATGTTCGCCTCCAGGACTTCACCATAGCCTATGACATCCTCTGAAAGTCCATACCCCAATCTCTCTGGCTAATTCCTGCTCTCCACTTTAAGACTCATCCACACACAGTTACTTTTTTGCATCACTTGCCCTTCCCTTTTAGATTGTAAGCTTTCACAAAAAAAGGGCCCTTCTAAAATAAATTATCATAAATTATCTTTAGTGTGTTTTCTGCTAATGTAATGTTATCTTATTAACCTACATTCTGTAGAATAGTGCTGAAGTCTATTTTCTGTGATGGCAAGCCTGCTTCTATTATATTAGCCTTGATTTTGGGATCTTCTTCAGGAACATTCAATGTTGAAGTAGAAGGAGCACTTTGGCTTTTGTAGAGATTTCTACTGTGTCCTTCACCACTGCTTTCTGGGTCCAAGTCACAAAACTCAAGTTCAGAATATAGCCTTGACTGTTCTTCCAAAACCTGTTCAAGTTGCTGTAAGCAGGAAAATGCACAGAACATGACAAAACTATACTGTATAATCATTGTAAGTAAAAAGCACAAAAATTGACTTCCAAAGACAAGCTGCTAAAGTATTACTAAAGGCTTGGAGTTTTGTACCCTAATTCATTCTCTGCATTAAGGTGAAAAACACCCAGTACCTTTCTGTATCCCCTGCCCCCCTCCCCCCCCCC